GGTGGTTGGAACGGTGGTACGGAGGGGTTAGTGGGAGGAGGGGGGAAGGGAGGGATTGGGAGACTTTTGAGAATTGATTGCTTCGAGGTCCAATGCGTTGGTTGGGAAGTTAACATTTTGGGCTAAGAAAGTTGTAGAGAGCGTGAGAATCGATATTTTAGACGGATTAAGTTTTTTATATTTTGCGTAAGGATCGGAAGTTTATCAGAGCCATTTAGAGAAAAGTATTCCAATTTTATCATCCACTTTTAAATTATTCCTCGAATCCTATCCTTGTGGGAAAAGGAACAATCCTGTGGGACTTGAAAATAATCTTAATTGATTTGCAGCGCGTTATAATTGCAAAAATGCAAATCTTCGTGAAGACATTGACTGGAAAGACGATCACTCTTGAAGTGGAGGCTTCGGATACGATTGAAAATGTGAAAGCAAAGATACAAGACAAAGAGGGCATTCCGCCAGACCAACAACGCTTGATTTTTGCCGGTATATACATTGTGATCATCTGCTTTGTGTATGGTGTAGGCTGCATTTCTTTTGTAGTTAATCGTAGATCGTAATTTTGGTGGAATCCAATAATTATGGACTCATTACATAGAAAACTTCTAAGTGGCGATAAAGAAGATGTATACTCTAACAATTTATTGTTTAGGTAAGCAGTTAGAAGATGGACGCACCCTGTCGGACTACAATATCCAGAAGGAATCCACTCTGCATCTGGTTCTTCGGCTGCGAGGTGGTATGCAAATCTTTGTAAAAACTCTTACCGGTAAAACGATCACATTGGAAGTGGAAGCATCTGATACCATCGAGAATGTTAAGGCGAAAATCCAGGATAAAGAAGGAATTCCACCAGATCAACAGCGATTAATCTTTGCCGGTATATTTTCTTGAATAGTTATAGATTTTTTACAAATATCTTCTCTATTGACTAATGTATCATTTATTTTGGATTTGGGAATATAATTATGTAAAAAAGTGGTATACTTTCTAAATGAGTGCTTATTTATAAAGATGGCAATTTTACTGTATTTTGCAGGAAAACAATTGGAAGATGGCCGCACATTGTCTGACTATAACATCCAGAAGGAGTCTACACTCCATCTAGTACTTCGTCTTCGAGGTGGCATGCAAATTTTTGTAAAAACGTTAACAGGCAAGACGATCACCTTGGAAGTTGAGGCTTCTGACACAATCGAGAATGTAAAGGCCAAAATTCAAGACAAAGAAGGGATTCCGCCGGATCAGCAGCGTCTTATTTTTGCCGGTACGCGCATGGATGATTTTTGCTTAATAAATACCAGATTTGAAATAGGGATGTTGATATTATTTAACAATATCATGTTTAAGGTAAACAGCTAGAAGATGGACGAACATTGTCTGATTATAACATCCAAAAAGAGTCGACATTGCATTTGGTGCTCCGTCTTCGTGGTGGCATGCAAATTTTCGTCAAAACGCTTACTGGCAAAACCATAACGCTGGAGGTAGAAGCGTCAGATACGATCGAGAATGTAAAGGCCAAGATCCAGGATAAAGAGGGTATCCCTCCTGATCAGCAACGACTCATTTTTGCAGGTATGTATTTTGCGAAATTGTTTGTATTGATATCGCATGCAAAATCATTTCTCATGACGGTGAGGAATACTCGGAGATCTTGATTTCAACTTAAAATTTCTGTGTTTTGAGTTCAATTTTTTTGCAGGGAAACAACTGGAAGATGGTCGCACGCTTTCTGATTATAACATCCAGAAGGAATCTACATTGCATCTGGTGCTTCGTTTGCGCGGTGGAATGCAAATTTTCGTGAAGACTTTGACGGGTAAAACCATAACTTTGGAAGTGGAGGCTTCGGATACCATCGAAAACGTCAAAGCAAAGATCCAGGACAAGGAAGGCATTCCACCAGATCAACAGCGCCTGATTTTTGCCGGAAAGCAGCTGGAGGACGGTCGTACGCTGTCGGATTACAACATTCAGAAAGAATCGACGCTGCACCTGGTTCTTCGCCTTCGTGGTGGCTACTGATTTAGTTGCCGCTTGCTGTAAATTTTTTGAAGTGAAAAATGTGGTGAATGAAAAATATTAAATTGACTTGGGGTTGAAATTGCAAACTAGAAGTCTGAGAACTTTCAAGCATCAGAAATTGAATCGAGATTTCAGGCGGTCGAGAATTAAAGTTAGAATTGTGTCTTCTTTTTAAGAGTGAAATTATTGCTCCTTGAACATTGACTTTTTGATTACTGGTCAGAAATTGGATTTCCCCTAGTTTTTTAAATGGGCTGGGTCTTTTATCTATGAATTTATGAATAAAAAATTACATTACATGCCACTCATTGTGTGCCTTATAAACTGAAGTAGCTGGGTGGATTAAAATTAAATGTAAAAACTATGAAGCTTGAGGGCATTGCATGCAGAACTCTATGTTTGTCATTAGATATCGAAAAATGTCAGCAGGCATTCTCATATAGGTGTATGTAGGAGCGAATTTTCTAGAAAATTCGATGGGGGAAAGGAGTTGTTTGACGTCATTGATTATACAGTTGTAAAATAGAGGGTATTCGGTTATTGATCGCACAGCTGTAAAACTGGAGTATGCAGCACAAAACATTTATGGTACCGATTGAAGATCGGGGTCTGCAAAATAATATCTGCATTGCTCTGAGAATTCTGGTTAAGAAATATTTCACTTCCTTTCATGTCCGGACTAAATTACAAAGATATTTTCTGCTACGTCAGTGCTTTTTTCCGGGTCATTTTGGGGACAAATGTCAAATTGGATACTCTTTCGGAAATATTTGTTCATTTTTTCCTTTATGCGGGGGATCTGTGAGCATTTTTGCTTCCATGTGTGTTGTAGTGCAGGTTGACGAAAAGAGGATCAAATACTCACTGTATTGATCCAGGAATGTTTCTTATTAGGGTACTCCATATTGTACTTTGTACTGGTTTTGCTTAAGGCTAAGCTTGTCGGCCTTAAATTAGCACGCTATGATGGCAAAAAATATTATGATTTGAGAGGGAGGGGAGGAGAAGGGAAGGGTATCAAATTGCAATCATTTTAGCTGAAGTTCATCCTTTTGGGTAGATTTTCGAACTCCTGAAATATTGATCGTGATAGTTTCTCTTCTAAGCAGTATACTATTAGTTTATTCATATTCACCGGTGCTTTCTAAAAATTTTGTTGAAATTTTGTTCAAAAAAAAACAGCAACGGTGACAAGCCTGATATACATTCAGGTTTTTATTGCTACATTAATGATAACATTGTACGCTATCAAAATATATCGTTCTCTGCATGGTTACATGAACATTTGGCACTTGCAAATATGTTTCAATGAAATGCATTTATGAAGCTGTAAGGAAGTCCCAATATCGGGAAGGAACATTTGGAAGTTCCAGTCGCCTTAGCTAGTGGATGAGATACGATCAGATTTCTATGTTTGATTGACTGTGAACATACATTTTAATAAATTTTCCGCATCTGAAATTATGCTTGAAAGGAGCTGATGAATTGAAGAAAAATGATAGTGCTGAAGATATGTACGTCAACTTACATAATCTGTATCCAAAATGATAGAAGCTTTCTGTAATAGCATCTTATCCTAACATTTGAATGTTCCATGATAAAAATTTGGGTCATAAATCATCGCTAATAGCGGAATTCGTAAATATGCCGAAAACCCAAAAAAAAATTGTTTAGCAAAATCGTACCTGAGCCGACCACCTTGCAGAAATCCTTTCCAAGAGTTCTTGATGAATAAATGATAATCACTGCACAGATGTAGCATAATAAAAATTAGCTAGTTTCAGTTTCATGCTTCCATCGATCACACAATTCTTCGTTTTAACATCTCTAAAATAAATATTTCAGGAAATTATCAAAATTGATAACATCACAATAGAAATTTTATTAATTATCGTACTCACACCGCCGTCAGATCATTGGAAGTTTTTGCGGTTGTAATACCTTCCTCAACAATCTAAGAAGCATACGTTAAGATATTCGAGAAAAAGTAAATGCATCGTCTGAAATATATTATTTTTTATAGCAATGATATTTGATATGCCGACGGTAAATCTCGAAATTTCGAAAGAAAAATGTAATAACTTATAGACATATCCTTTATCTGTGATGTATCTCCGTACAGCAGCTTCTTCGCTACATAACGTATTTTCTGGTCCTTCCGAGCTTCTTTTTTTGTATAGCCGTTAATAATTTCGTTAAACTTCTCATTTAAATTTCATGATGAAATTTTATTTTCTATCTCGATTCTTGCTCGGATTCCACTCATTTAGCGCAAACATTCTCAAACTTCCCTTTTTCCTTAGCAATATCTCCTGTAATTTTCAAGGAAGATGTGACCATCTTTTCTTACTGGAAAGTTCTCTTACTTTGACAAAGTCCAACAATCATTGTAAATGAAACATAGTATTATTACTATAAACTGTGGGCAATTTTCTCAGAAGACAAGCTTCATCTAAGAATCGCTTTTCACTTTCTAGTACTAGTTACTTATTTACAAATAACATTGGTGCAATTCGAATTTTTTTTGGCAACACGAATCACTATTTCATAAGTCCAAAAAAAAAAAAGAAAAAAAAAAAAAAAAACGAAAAATCAAATCCTTACTAACACTCGTCCAGATTAATACAACGCCGAGAACGAACCTTTATCCGGTAACGCTCATAGATCTCTCCAAAAAATTGTATAATGCAAATGACACCAAATTCCAGGATGCAAAAAATTCTTCAGAATAATTCATTTTCCTGTTAGTAATATTTTCATATTTCGATGCTAATCTAGCAGTGAATTTACACTACGATCCTGAATAATTATATATTATCATCGGATTCAGTGTTTCAATGCATTACTTGAAATTTAATGTACCTTCAAGTTCTGTGTTTTGTTTTATTCAATGGTATCATCAAAAATTCCGAAATTTAAAAATTGTTTCTAATTTTGCATTGTTGAAATTAAATTATCTTTAGAAAATAATTGATTGAATAACTGATAAACAAAATTTCGAGCAACAATGAAATTACGAATAGAAAACAACTTTATTTTTATAGTCTATTAGTGGAAGGAAGCGTCAGTGACAAATAGTCATGAAGTGTACTTTCGATTTTGCAAATTTGGATCTATCCGTTCCACGAACATCTGAAGAGTATCACACGGACATTCTTTCTCCTAATGTGATTAACTTTCATTGCAACTATTTATTAAGCATAAAACTGCACCAAACTGCCTAGAAATGATAAGAAAGTTTTATTTTAAAACAATCAAGAATCCTTCATCCTATCATTCTACGCGTTTGAAATTTCTATACAGTTTTAAATGGTACAAACTTGAAGAGACTAAAGATATAATTTACAGTACAAAAAGGAAAACTTTACTTCGTTTTCTATTCCATTTTTCTTCATTGGGCGATTTATCATAGTTCAAGTTTATTTTTTTAAATGTCAAGGTTATTAACAAAAAAAAAGGAATATACAGCTTTGCTGCCGTTAAATTACTTTTACGATATCCTCCCTTTCCCTTATCAACTAAGCTTTTACAAAAATAACAATATTAAATTCATTTTAGTTTGATAATTCAAGTCTTGAGTTCTCATGATGATTCCGAAATAAAGCAATGAAAAAGCAAATTACATTGATTCCAAAAATTTTATCTTGTGGTTAGACAAAAAATTTACAAAAAAGTAATAACATAGCCTAAATCGAGCAGAAAAAAGCTTTACAAGGGATAGAATGTAAAATATGACAATTATGAATGTATAAGTGGAATATTTCATTATTTTTGTGCTCGTAAAGTTTAGAGAAAAGAATTTGTGATTGTGATTTGTAGCACGAAAGCTATCAAATCATTCAGAAAAAACTTATAATAACTAAAGAAGTATATTACAAATATATTACAAGTGGCATCAAACAGCTTTACCAAATTATTTGATCATAAATTTAACAAGTCAGATTTTAGTTTATAAATAAATCTTGAAGAGAATATATAACTACACATTAACAACATTTGATACAACAACTATTGTAGAAGAGCCAATGGCCTGCATTTCAGTGGGCTGTAATACAATGATAATAATCATTACTATGGAGAAAATATTGAATTATTACAAAGTCACTGGTCTGCATTCTGCAAATAACGCTGTCTTTATCATGATCACTAATCAAGAACAAAACACTCCTCTAAAGAAAAGCCCAGTTTCTACTCCTCTTATTTAACTTCTTATTATCCAGTTGTGCTAACATAAAAATAAATTTAAAATATCCCAAAATTAGTGGCGTATATAGGAAATAAAAGTTTGTTCAACAGCTATAAATTAAACAAATATCTTAGCATTTCTTTAATTTATAGCTAATGAGCATTTTTTTCGTATAAATATTAATGTCGAATGTCATTCCTCTTATTTCCTTTTCCCAGAAAGTAAACAACAAGCGTAATGTGCAGTTCAGACGATTCTCTCAGTTAGTAAACAAAAGCAAATAATTTCTAATTATGTGAATTACTTAAATACTAAAAATATATCCGAAAAGCGAAATAAAAGAGGACTTTGCTTAAGTTTTCTGATACAATCATGACCTAAATGAAGCAAATACAATACATTTTTCAAGCGTAAAAAAGTAAGAGGAAGAGTGTGAAAATTATGCTACCGATGGTAAATCGATAAAAGACGGCAGCCATTTTGATAACCAATTTTGATTGCTGGCTAAATTTAATATTTTAGTCAAGTTCCCTCATCCCTCTTCATGAATCCTGACTTTTTCACTTGTTTTTTACGAAAGGCATCAAAAAAAATTGATATTCTTCTTGAAAGTTTTTTTTCAGTTCAAAAAAATTTTAAATGATTTTTTTTGAGCAAAATGTAATTTCTATTTCTAAAAATAAATTCATGAAAAATTTTTCTCACAAGTTATTTTTTTCTTCACAGAGTGAAGCTTCATTTTTTTTATTTCTGCGTTTCCTAAGATGTTTGCTGCAGTCCACTGAAATATTGCAAGTATCCACAGCAAGTTTCGATAGAGGTTTTTTATCCAAATCTGCTTTTTTCTTATTTTTCATACATGGACGTTTTCCAAATGAAGGAAACGAAATTACAGGAAAATACAGTGGAAGGTCAAAGTCATTTGCAACACGACCTTGTCCGCCAGCTTCAAAAAACCTTAAAAAAACGACACAGGAGCATGAAAATAATGAATCAAGATGGAATAGTGCATTTCGGTCTCTATCAGTTCCACAGATGGTCATTTTGCTGAACCGATTATATAACTCATTTACTGAATATTTGTATAGTATTTCCATTCGAATCACAATATTAGGCTTCCTTGAATGTCACAATTATTTCGAAAGAACTGTCTTATTTGTCAAAATCAAATAACTATCAAAATTTGTTAAATTCGCGAGTGAAAATATTATGACAAAGAGAATTAAAACATACCAGCCAAGCGGAAACCATAATCTCATTCGATTATCGCTTCCTGTTAAACTGAACTGATATGCATATGCATGATAATATAAAAACATTCGAGATGAGATGCAGAATGCGATAAATACATCAATACTGTAGTGTTCATGACCAGCCAAAATGAAAAATATCCCGAACAGATTTAAAACCCAAGTAATTGTATGTAAGACATGCCATGAATCTGGTGTATCTGTAAAATTTGTTTTAATTTAATACCTTATTACTCAACAAGAAACTGCATTTCTAATTTGTAAACTCCGTTTACTTGTCTTACACAAAAATTTTTCGTTTCTATGCGATGTACCAATTTTAACTAGTCCACAAGATAAGAGCTTAACCTAAATTAATCTCTTTACTATTACTGGTATAAGCAGGAGTGTGAACTCCAATCCACCAATTTTGTTTAAAACTATATCAGTACCAATAAGAACGGAAATAATGCACTGTAAAATAAGCCAAATCTTTAGAATCATAGGGCAATTATTGAAAATAACTGTGCAAAATTGTAGCATTCCAAAAAGTGCTATATAACATTCGAAAAATATTCCCAACCTTCGGGCTGGAAAGATCGAGCTTATAGAAGCGATTTATTTCAACAAAGCAAGAGAATGTCTGCCAGTAATGGATTTCGTGAAACCTATGAATACAAGATAAAAACTTGAATAAAAGTAGAAGATATGAACTAACATTCAGTGATAAAGTGGTTCAATAATGTCATCGCTGTTGTATGTCCACTAAACATATAGTCACCGCATGATCGTACACCATGAATTGACATACCAAAGCGTGACCAGATGTGGTAAGCTTGCTGCAGTCTTGCGACAAATGTACCATAGCTCTGTTAAAATATTAAACTGATAAAAATCAATTTCTAGCCATTATAAGAAACGTTGCATTGAAAACATCCCTACTCTTATACAGACATCTCAAACATGAAGTTGGAACAACGACAGCTAAAAACAATACCTTGTAGAGAACAAGAAAATAAAGTGAAGACTACTTTAATCAAATCAACAACAACACTTTTCATACATTAATACAATATCTTCCTCTATTTAAAAAAAACCTGCGAACGGCATTCCAAATGAGGACCTGGCACAGATAAGGATGTGATTAGCATTGTAACACAACGTAAAAGGAAAACAGTTCCAACCAACGAGAACATACGTCGCATTATAACAACCCTGAAAAGAAGACAGAGAAGTATTAAACATATCTACATATTTTTCAAACAATCAGAACAAAAAGTTCGAAATTTAAAACAATCATCAATAGTTTTACTAGATTACTCTCAAAAAATGTCTTAAAACACCTACAATGTTACTTTAACGATTTTAACTAGATAGACAATGAGAAATTCTCTATAGCATAAATATTCAAACAAGAAATATTCAGCCTCAAATTGGCATATATCTTTTCAAATCCACTATTATAAATAAATATTTCTCAAAAGGAGCAAACATATCATTGTGAGTACTGGAGTTTAATAATTAAAAGTTGTGTGCGCATCTAGAAGTTCTCACAGACAATTATACTTTTTTAAAACGAGTTGCACTGTAACAAATAATTTAAATGATTACTGTGGAACACGAATAAATCAAATGTGGTGTCAACGAATATTTGTTCACCAAATTCCAAAAGAATAACTTATTTGGATACTATAAAATATACCGATGCTTGTGGAAGAACAAAATCGTGAACCACAATAATGCTAGAAAAACCGCTATTCCTTCACAAACTTGAAAAGCCCATGGTATCAGTGGCAAGTTATCAAGTACGATATCTGGTAAAGGTGGATATGTTTTCATATCTAAAATTTGTTGGCAAATATTATTATATTAACATATGCAATGCTTACTGACAAATCTCCGAACGACAGCATTTCCGTCATTTTCAAGGTTTTTATAAAAATTTCCAAAGAGGTTTTCTGCAATAAAAAGCAACTCACCTGGTACACGATCATGTACAAGAACCATTACAAAAGCAGTAATTAATAAAGAAGACGTACAATAGCAGAAAGCAATAGTTAATTTTATAAATGACTTCAATCTTGTATCGGGACTCTCCACCTGCAACATTTTCATTGCAGTTTTTTCGAGATGATGTATTACACCGAATGCTGAGACTTTCAAAAACAAGTTTTTCTTTGTGAGAAACATCAAATGATTGCCATGTCAAATTCGTACACCAAAATGTTGACTATCAATTAAATTTGTCAGGAATTTACCTTACATTATAAAACGTGAAAAATTAGCAAAAAGTATAAAAAAGAATGGTTAAAAATATGAATAATCACTTGTCGTATTAAATCTTCCCTGCTCAACAGATGCATTCGTTTTAATCGTCCCTCATCTAACGAGTTTGCGGCTACATCACCCAGAATACATTGCGCGGTTTCACTGAAAGTTAAAGTGATTTTTCATACAAAATCAGATTCGAGTCCCCACGCTTTATCATCTGATTTCCGGGACAATCGCTACTAGCTTGAAAGACTATACAACAATCTAAAATAGTAGAAAGAAACAAATGTAGAGTAGTTGAAAATGTATTATTTCACTTGTGATAGCATCTTAATATTAGATTTATGTTGTTTAACAACAGCTATCTTATTAAACAGGATAATAAAAAAAAGGGTGTAACAATACAGTAAACTTGCTTTGTTTTAGAAAAAGTTTCCGGATAGGGGCTCGCAATATGCAACACTCCATTTTCACAATCAACATTGCCCGGAAGATCAGTGGAATCAGTTAACAGGTGATCACTATCAGCAAATGGTACTTGACTCTTACTGCTTTCAACAGCCAACTGAATACTTTTTTGCATCATTGACTGAAAAACAATTTATAATTCCCTAACTGCAGTCAGAAACTATCTGACCAAATAAGTTGTGCTGCATCACCAGAAATAATTGGAAACTTATAAGATTTCAATGAAAAAAGTTAGTATAACAGCTATTGTTCGTATAAATTCTGGTCATCAGCACAATCTCAAGAGATCATAAGAGTGTAGTTCCGCTGTTTTACCGACCGTATCCATATTTTCCTGATTGCAATTGCATTTAAATCATTCTGATTGCTTCAGATATAATGATAAACATGGATCAGAAATAGTGAATTCAGAATTCAAAAAATTTCCTTCCTCCAGCTCAAAAATTTGCTAAACTATGCAAATACTTACCACTGCTTCTAAAGGCGTTAAATTCATTCTTAATCGCGAAATAGCCAAAGCAATGCGCTTGATATCACCAAGGCAATTCAATTTTAATGGTTTTTCGCGTAAATCGACTTCGGTTAGCATGAGCAATGTACGACCATCAATCTGAAATGTATTTTAAGAAAAAAAAACTTGAACAAATTCACGAATTGTTTTCTTTCCAACAGCAAGTGAGGAAAATACATCCAGAATCTATGAACTTGTCCCCAAACAAATTCACTATTTATTTAGTAAACAATAACTTTTGCAAACATGAATACCTTATGTTTGTAAGCGATAATATTAGCATATTTTTCAAAGCCCTGTCCATTAAGCCATGTAGCAACATCGGCATAACTCCATTCTTCGGGTGAAGTTGTGACAATTCGATGATAATCGCTGCTATTTAGCCTATTTACAGCCTCACACTTCCTCATCACATCTTCATTACCGCATAATCCGTCGAAATCAGCCATAATTACCGGATGAGCAAGCATGACACCTGAAAAAATGTACACCGAGTTGAACTCTGCGATATTCATAGCAGTAATTAAATACAAATGATTAAGCGTATATAAAAAGTTGTGGTAATAGTCGCAGAAGTAATCACATCGCTATATTTATATCTGTATCAACTGATCTATTATTTCATAGATATCGCATGTTACGTTTCACGCATCATCACATTTGATCTATGACCATATATCATATTTCTAAAAAAATAGTTTCGTTGTAGGCTAAACATTTGCAAATTTTCATGAGTGCCAAATACATAATCTATTTACATAAGATGATTTATATTTACATAAGATTTATATTTACATAAGATTTAT